TGTGATTTTCAAATCAGAGATGAATATATCAACATAAAGAGAATGCTTTAATATCATTATTTTTAATTTGATTGACCCATAATTGAAAAAAATTATTTTGATATAAATATTTATTTTAAAGGCAAAAATTTTATTGCATAATTCAAAATATATAAATGATGGTCAAGCAGAACACATGTATAATTTTTTTTCTCCTACACAGACTGACCCAGAGAAGGCATCAATGCCTAAAGATGGAACCGTGCATGAATTAACAAATAGGGTAAAAATAAGAATTATTCAAATTTGAAAAATGAAAAGTGATTTCATTTACTATTTTTGGTCAAATGATCTTCAGATACTTGGAAACTGATGTTTGATATATCAAAGATATCAGTAAAATGACGTTCATGTTAAAATACATGTAGTATATACATGTAAATAACATGATATCCAAGTTAGAGATATCAGTAAGCATGATTTTTGGATTTAGAAAAGTCAAAATACACAAACCTGATATATAAATACATTAGAATGATCAGAGATTTAACTGTTCATATGTTTCAGACCATCATATTTCTGGAACCACTCCTGGATTATGCAGACACTGCAGGAGCTATGTTACTTCTTCATGGTGGGTATAATTTTGTCAATTAAAATCTATCAAATTCCTTGTCAGTGTGAATTTTTTTTTATTCAAAAATAGGGGATTCATCCAGGTAGAAAATGTATGGATACCAGAAGTAAATTGTGTATAGATTGTTCCCAAAAAGTGCATTTAAAGTTCATATGGCAAATTTCTGCATTCATGTTTTTATTAAAACTATCACTTGAAAGGGTATAAATACATAGGGATATTAATGACTATTTTATTTTTTTCCCTCAGGAGAACAGGCAGCTCCCTCAGAGGCTGTTGATGCTAAAAAGAGTAAACTTAAACTTGCAGACTATATCAGTGAGTAATTGTTCTAGTCTTTCTCAGAAAGAGAGAGAGGGGTGCATATTGATCATAATTTCCAATGGCCATTGATTAATTCATGCTACTTAATGAAGGAGAGATATCATTACATACAGGTACATTTTATCTTTTTATCTGTTTATAAACACCTGTAATGCACCTCATTTGAATTTTCATTTTGAAGCCAAAACCTTGTCAGCTCTGGGTCTGAACTTGAGCAATAAAGCAGAGACCTACAGTGACCCGACCCTGAGACCTGTGTTCATGCTGAATAATTATCACTACATCCTCAAGTCACTCAAAAGGTGAGGAGAAACACTCTGATTGTGAATGCATCGAAATTTCCTACAATTTTTTTAAACAAGTTTTACCAATTATATATATATATATTTTTTAATTGTTTTATATGCCTGATGAATAGTATTGATGTTTAGATATTTTGACTTCCAAAATAATTTCTCATAATCATTAGCTTGAAAAAGTATACTGAATATATTGACACTTTTTGTACATTTATTGCATTCATTTATTTTTAAAATGTTTTGAATAGAAGTACATATTGAGTTTTATGTGTGTCAAGTATACATGTTTTTATCCAGATCTGGTTTGTTGGATCTTATTCACACCTGGAATAAAGATGTAGGACAATTCTATGAGGACAGAATCAATGAACAAAAGAAATCATACTCAGAAAGGTTTGATTCAAGTTCTAACTCACCAAGAATCTTTGAATATTGATTTATCTTTAGCTGTACTGTTATTTTAATCATACAAATAAATTGCAGACGATACGAAGGAATTCTTTTTTTTCTCCATTTTCAGTGAATTGTTGCATGTTAACAATTTTTGGTTATAGGGGGTGGATTAGTGATTAAGATCTTCCATTTTCATTACTTCTCTTATCTGAAAGACCTAAAAATGTTTTTAGAAAAAATGATTTTGTTTTACCGTATATGGTTTGTAGTGAAACTAAAAATAGAATGTTATGCCTGTTTTTCAGTTGGAGTCGAGTAATGCATTATATCACTGAGGTGAATGAACCAATATCTCAACAGAGAATCCAGGCCATGGAATCCAGCAGAGAAAGGGTCAGTCCATTTTCTAATACATATATAAAGATAAATAATGTGACCAACCAGAAGCATTTAGACAAATTTAATTCGCAAATTAAATAAGATTTACATGAATGTTTACTTCACTTTCAGTTTAATATTTCACTGGATATTGTTTGATTTAATTAAATCATTGGCAAATGTTAAAACTGGTATAAAATTTCTTTGTGATTTGACTTTATTGAATTATTGGCAATGTTAAAACTGGTATAAGATGTCTTTGAGACTTAATTGACAATGACAGGGCTTTGCGATCCCTGTGAGTATACCCTGTACATGGAATCACTTATTATCAAGTCAAGCCATAAAGTACTACAGTGGTTATACAGTGTACCGAAATTTGATATTATAAGTTGTCCGAATTTGCTGCCTTGTGCTATTATAGTGTATTAACTACTTGTATGCATTCTCTTGACTGTGATTTTATGTATTGAAATCTGAAATCTGTATGTAATATACAGTTCTAGATAGGATAGCCTCTCCATGACATTTCTTTGAATTCCAATATGCCCTTTTGTTCATGTAACATGTAGCTATAACATGTGTATTCACTTCAGCTGTGGAATTAGTTTTTGTAGTCTATGCTCATTGTATAAATTATTTTTGTTAATATTTTATATACCCTTACTTGAAATATGTCAAATTCCTATGAAGAATTTGATTAATTAAAAAATTCAAATTACCGATATTACTTAAATATATGCCCTGACTTGATTCTCTCAATTTTCATTTGTTATTGACTTCATATATTTCATGTACAATTACATTTCCCTTCTTTTGTCATTATTTAATCAAAAGAATATTTAAAATGAATTAGTTCAATGTGGAAAAAAAATCAAATTTACTTATGGTACATGTAAGCAAGACACACTAATCAAAATATTTACATGTATTTTTACTTTTAGTTGAAAGACAAGGAAAAACAAAACATAAAAGACAAATTTTCTGTGAGTATGCAAATTTACATTAGTATATACAGTAAAAAGAAAGAAAAGTTTCTGCCTTCTTTTTTAAGTAAGTAAGTAAAAGTGATATGCTATAGATAGTAACATCTCTTGCCTCTGTACATGTATTTGTGCCTTCATAACTTGCTGGTATTTACATCTTAAATGTCAATATTTCCAGGGTTTCAACAAAGAGTTGGAGGACATTCTACGAAGTCAGAAAGGATACGCCATTCCTGACCCAGAATTACGTGAACAAATGAAAAAGGACAACAAGGACTTTATCATTCCTTCCTACAGAATGTTCCTAGATAAATATAAAAGACTTAACTTTACAAAAAATCCCACCAAGTACATCAAATACTCTGTACAGGACGTGGCGGAAGTGGTGGATAAACTGTTTGATATGTCCGCTTAATTCTTCTTATAATTGTATATTGGCTTGTAACAATCTGTTTTACTATAAGTACTTGTGATAATATGAATACTAAGCATGTATCATTTGCAGTCTTTTAAGTTACATGTATTCATGTATTGCAGATGAAAAGGGAGTAAAGTAATAATAACATACAAACTAAATCCAACTACTGGGTAAAAATAACTTTAAACATACTTTTATCTATATCAAGATCAAAGCTATATTATTGTTACAAACTTGAGAAAAATTTGAAATACATAGAATGACTTTTGGTATTCAGATTCTTGATAATTAATACTTAAAACACAATACAACACTCTGAATGCAATCTTCGGAAACCAAGAGGAAGATACAGGGGGTTATCAAAAAGTTTGTGGATTGATGTGATAAAATTAATATGTAGTCTATGATTACAAAATTTATAAGGAACATAACACAACAAAAGTTTAGGAAGTGTTGAAAATTAAAGCTTGATAGAGTGTCATCAGGACACCTGATTTTTATGTGCAATATTTTATTTAAGATTTTTAATTGAAATAAATAAACAGAATTTAAAGCTATATATGCCGTATTAGTGTTTTATTTTAAAAGTAATAAATATATGTGGTGTCTCATCAAGTTATATAAGTTATATACTTTCTGCAAATAAGACAGTTCCACTCCATCACTTTTAAAAGTTATGAAATATTATTTGGTAAAAATTATTTTCTCTCCGTGTCGGATAAAAAACCGCCTCTTATTGAAATATTCATGATCACGTTGTCTCGCATGTTTACAGCAAACAATGGTCCAATCTCGTGAATGAACCGAAAAGCATGATGGTCTACTAAGTTTTTACTACAAACACGTGAGTTAGGGATTGTCTGAGAGCAACTAAGAGTTGGTTGCTTTTTGTACCGAGGAATAATCACGTGCAATTGTCTCCTCAATGGACATTTTCGGTTGGGTGAACTTCTACAGCTGTCAGCGACTATGGATAAAGAAGTGTGGAAACCATGTTGTGCCAAAATAAATAACCAATACAAACAAATGATATTAATTTGATCAATCAAAATGGTTATTAGATACATTCGATTCTGCATTTCTAAATGGTTAAAAACAACAAAAAGTATTCCACAGAATATCATATATGAATCTCCACAATGTACCAAATGCCAAAATCAGAATACTACTAAAAAAAATCATTATATTCTTTACATATGAACCACGGTATTTCTGACCCCTTGAAAATAATATAAAAAATCTTGCAAGTAGGTTATCAGCATTGTCTCGAGCTAATTCGAAAGTGAAATTTGGAGTTTGGCATTAAATTGTAGTGAATGAATAAAATTTAGTACTGATGGATATTGGAATTAAGCTATTTTACTTGTCAGATTTCTTCGAGCAGTTGATTTTTATTCTAATGTTCTATCCCCCCCCACCCACTTAAAAAAACGATGCTAACTATCTGAATTTTTTTTTCTTAATGGTGTTCATCGAAATGCTTGGTTGTGCCCTCAAACTGGAATAGTTTTCGAGGCCTGGAATTCCTTGACCAATTTTATTTTATTAGCCCAACAAGATGTATCATGGTATGTAAGATTCATCTACATATGTTATGTAGTTCATATTAAAAAAAACAAAAGGGATAATTGACGATATCCCAGTCAGGGTGTAAACATAGAAGTTTTAATTACTTTCCATACATTGTACTTTACATAAAATATCTTTTGCGCATAATGCGCTCCATACTGAAGATCCGTAAATGTTCACCCAACCGAAAATGTCCACTAGCAGTACAGCACGGGGAAACTCTAAACAAACGCACCTGTACAATGGAGTGGGGAAAACTTTAATTTTCATCATTGTTAATCATTTGTATGCAAATATGAGCATGGGATTAGTTGATAATAATGTACATAATGCATCAAGTCTTTCTGAGAGCGATTTAAAAAACTAGCATTTTTGAAAAACACATGTAGTATTTTATGTAGTAACCCATAAATACAACTCATTGAGCTGATTGGCCTATTTGTGTCCCTCACTGAACAGACGTCACAAAAAATATTTTCCTCGATCTGATGATTCTCGCAATGCTTTTCCCGCGTACATGTGCAGATCCAGGATAAAAGTCAGTCCTTTATAAATATGCATAAGAATATCGTGTTCTTTTCCTGATCAGTACTTTGTTAGTACCGAGTAAAATTTAGTCGAATTTACAAGAATGCTTCATTTTTGGTAGCTTATCATACTCCAGAATTTTTTGTTCGCTTTCAGCTGTGCAAAAATACTGTTTAACACGGCATACATATCTTTAAACTGCAGTTTTTCTTTATCATATAGAACATGATACTGTAAACAATATACAGTGGACCTTCAGATATCCGGATACTTCAGTATCTGGACGATTTTTCATCTGAACAGAATTTTTAAACATTATTTTGTCTTATTTAACTGATAATTCGGGTATCTGGTAGTTAGAATAATCTAACTGTGTCTCGGCACAGGCCCTCACCACTGTTAGAATACGTCCCATATACTTGCAACGTAGCGAATCGGAGCGGATCCGCTCCGAAACGATTTTGAAGAATTTAAAATGATTTGCACTGGGAATAACTACCAAAATAATCAAAACAAACCTTCTTGAGATTGCTTATGCCTTTTCCCCCAAAAAATAATCCATATAAATACGTAAAACCAATTAATTTTCTCAACGTTTTTCTCTCCATTCAAATGTTTACATTCGGAACTCTCTAGATTGTTCCTAGTAAATGCACTATCGCCCGTGTTTCTTTCTGCTACATTTCGAATACACGGAACGAATTCTATCGTTAAACCGGGTCCGTAGGACAATATCATTTTAACGATAGAACATTCTATCTAGGTATCTGGATGCTTCACATATCTGTAAAAATTGACAAGGAACCAGAGTCCAGATAAATGAGGCTCCACTGTACATGTACATTCTGTTTTGCTTGGTGGGTAAAGGCTGCAGATAGATTGAATTTGGCCATCAAATCTTTATGGAAGTTTGTTGTGTTAGTCCGTTTCTCCAAACGACTAGTTTATCTTTTAAGAAAGATAGGTGAGCTAGCAATTTTAAACACAGAAAGGAAGGTTCGTGATCAACTGTTTTTTTTTAAATTTTGTTCACCTCATATTTCTCACTTTGTATAATAAATGCTTGTATTAGTTGTGTTAATTTATGTTATGTTATTCATGTTCATGACTGTATGCCGACATGGTAATTGTCAATAAAGTGAATTGAATTGAATTGAATTGAATTTTTAAGGAGGATAGATTTATATTTTTTATGAAGAGTATTTTACAGAATTATATTAGTTGGAACTGCACTGTATCCTTAAATATCCATCAGATAAGTAATACTATGACCTTCAAACATATGCTAACTGGTATTGTTTACAACTGATTTTTCGCTCACCTGAGCCAAAGGCTCAAGTGAGCTTTTCTGATCACATTTTGTCTGGCGTCCGTCTGTCTGTCTGTCAGTAAACTTTTCACATTTTTGACTTCGTCTCAAGAACCCCTAGGCCATTTTCAACCAAACTTGCCACAAAGCATCTTTGGGTGAAGGGGATTCAAGTTTGTTCAAATGAAGGGCCACATCCTCATTCAAGGGGGAGATAATTGGGAATTAATTAGTGTAAATTCAAGTTTGTTCAAATCATGAACCCCAGGGGTTACAAGGGCGGGGCCAAAGTTTTACATAGAAATGTATAGGAAAATTCTTTAAAAATCTTCTTCTCAAGAATGACAAAGCCATAATTCATCATATTTATATGGAAGCATCCTCAGGTAGTGTAAATTCAAGTTTGTTTAAATCATGACCCTCCCGGGGATAAGGGGGGTCCACAATGGCCGACCAAAGTTTCACAGAGAAATATATAGGAAAATTCTTTAAAAATCTTCTTCTCCAGAATGACAAAGCCATATTTCATCATATTTATATAGAAGCATCCCCAGGTAGTGTAGATTCAAGTTTGTTCAAATCATGACCCCCTGGGGTATGATTGGGGGGCCAAAATGACCAACCATAGTTTTACATAGAAATATATAGGAAAATTCTTTAAAAATCTTCTTCTCAAGAATGACAAAGCCATATTTCATCATATTTATATGGAAGCATCCCCAGGTAGTGTAGATTCAAGTTTGTTCAAACCTGGGGTAGGGGGGGGGGGGCAAAATGGCTGACCAAAATTTACATAGAAATATATAGGAAAATTCTTCAAATATCATCTTCTCAAGAATAGCAAAGTCATGATTGGTCATGGGACTACTTTTGGATTTTAAACTTTTCAGTAATGAACCAATTTCTACTTTTCCTAGCCACAGTGCTCAGGTGAGCGATGTGGCCAATGGGCCTCTTGTTACAAGAGTCATTTTATCATTTTGTTGCATTGATAAGACTCGAATATATACGAACCAATATACGAACCCCCTAAGGTCATCTATGCAAGTTCAAGGTCACTGAAAGAAAAAAATTATAATTCATGATTGGTACATATCTTTATAATGGAAAAACTTGATTCTACTACTTCACACAAAGATGGACTATGACCTGAGGGTGTGTTATGGCCTGACCCAAGGTCATTTAAGTTGAAGGTTACTGAAAGAAAAATTTCATAATTATACCCTTCGCAAAAGAAGTTTGGGGGGGGGGGTATATAGGAATCACCTTGTCCATCTGTCAAGCTGTCTATCTGTCTGTGCAATTGTGTCCGGTCCATATCTTTCTTAAAGAGGGACATTAAAATCAACTACTCCACACTAAGATCGCCCTTGACCTAAGGGTGTGTCATGACCTTGACCCAAGGTCATTAGGGGAAGTTGAAGATCACTGGACGAAAAATGTCATAATTCGTGTCCGGTCCATATCGTTCGTATGGATAAACTTGGTAGGTTCTCATTTCACACAAAGATTGCCCATGACCCAAGGGTGTGTCATGATCTTGACCCAAGGTCATTTGGGGAAGTTCAAGGTCATTGGAAGAAAAATTTCATAATTCATGTCCGGTCCATATCTTTCTTATGGATAAACTTGGTAGGTTCTCATTTCACACAAAGTTGGCCAATAACCCAAGGGTGTGTCATGACCTTGACCCAAGGTCATTTGGGGAAGTTTAAGGTCACTGGAAGAAAAATTTAATAAATCATGTCTGGTCTGTATCTTTCTTATGGATAAACTTGGTAGGTTCTCATTTCACACAAAGATTGCCCATGACCCAAGGGTGTGTCATGACCTTGACCCAAGGTCATTTGGGAAGTTCAAGGTCACTGGAAGAAAAATTTCATTATTCGTGTTTGATACTACTTATCTTTATTATGGAAAAACTTCTGGAAAATCCAGTGGGGGGTATTTTGTCCCAGTTTGGACAGTTTTAGTTCATGTTTGGTAAATATCTTTCTTATGGAAAAACTTGGTAAATTCCTGTTTTACACAAAGATTGCTTATGTCTTGAGAGTGTGTCATGACCTAGATCCAAGGTCATTTGTGCAAGATTAAGGCCACTAAAAGGAAAAAGTTCATAATTTGTGCCTGG